CTGGGGAAGAGGGTTTAATTCCGTGGAGCAGATGGCGCGCGGGGGGGGTGGGGGGTGTCGGCGGCGCTGGGGAGGTTGTTTCCGTGGGGTGGGCGGTGCTGGGGGGGGGTTGTTGTGTTTTGGGGGAGCTGGGTTGTGCGGGGGGGGGGTTGGCAACGCTTGGGGGGTTTCGGCCCTCAGTTGTTTTCTTTGGAGTAATATGGCCCTCGCCGCTTTACGAATTGTGCAGGCCTGCTCTAGGAAGTACCACAACAACCAGGTTTCAGAGTAGCAACTGTGTTAGTCTGTATCCGCAAAAAGAACAGGAGTACTTGTGGCACCTTAGAGACTAACATATTTGTACTCCTGTTCTTTTTGTGGATACAAACTAACACGGCTGCTACTCTGAAACCTGTCATTATGCAAGGCACTGCATTTAGCCGTATGGAGTGGAAATCCATCAACTTCGTGATTTTTTAATTTGTTAGCCTCTAAGGTGCCACAAGTACAACAACCAGGGACGTGACAATTTCTTTGAGGGCAATTTGCTGAGGGACATAACAGAAAACATTTCAAGGTTGTTTGGTGGCATTCATGGAGCAGCTGCAGACAGTGGAGTGCTGCGTCTGGGCCTGGCAACAAGCACTCTTTAAAGTGACTTTAGTTCAGGCACAAGAACATCTTTGGAATCTCACATATCATCTTTGGCAGTTCCAGAGGGTAAATCTTACCAAGTTTTTCCTCTGTATGGGTACTTTAGGATTTTGAACGTAGATCTGACAGGTTCTTTGTCTTCAACTCTCTCTCTTAATAGATGTACATGGCTCCAGAATTCAGGTATTTCTATAAAATATCAAGTCAATAGATGAACTTACAAAGGTAGGTGATCTTTAGTTTTAAAACTGATGAGCTCTTGGAGAAACTAAAGGCCACCAGATCTCCAGTTGAGTCAATCAGTTCCTCACAAAATTGTCTTTCAGAAGTCAGCAGGTGTGATTTCAGTAGAAATCTTCTGTATGTCTATGTAGAGAAACCCAGACAGTCTAGGAAATATTTTTGCCATATCAAAAAAGGAAAAGTTTGTTCTTCCCTTGCCTCTGCTCCCTCAGCAGCAGATGCTACAACATCCAGCATTCTCAGACTTGCTACCTAGAGGCTCCCAAACCAATTGTAAGATTTAAATCCTCACTTTCTTTTCCTCCTCCTTTTTGGAGACAATTTGTCCCCAATTGTTTCAGGTATGACAAGCTATTTAGTCAAACTGCTCTGTTCTAGAAATCAAACAGAACAGACACTTCAAGATCATACCAAAATCCAGTCCTTCTCACCCCCGGGGGTCTTTTCATGAAAAACTGATGCAAAAAGTGGTCTTGACCTTACTGAAAATTGAAATCTGGAGACAGAAGTAGTACAAGAGCCTTGGAGGGGAGAAAGTTTTTTTTTATTAGAAATAAGACGTTGCTAGGAATAAAATAATTCTGTCTTACACATTCTACTGCATCTCTGCAAATTGAAAAAATGCCTATGCAAAAATTCTGCTCATTGGAGAAACCATGCACAATATCTCCTTTCAGCTTTTAGGACTGGTTTGCCCCAGATTCTTGAGAGGGCTACTTCCATAGTGTTGTAAGGACAAGACAAAGTTCCTCCAGTTCATAGTAGACAAACACCCTTGCAAACCTCATAATATTCATTAAGTGCTCAAATGTTCTCTGACTCATCTGCATCACCTGAGTCTGCAGGTGTAATCAGATCTGGATGAATGGCTCACAACAGATTCCCACCATGGAGAGGTCTTATCCACCTGGTGCCAAGGTGGGAAAGACTGGTCAGGAGAAAAATCTTACATGAAGTCTGATGGATTCCAACAGGTTGTAGTTAGAGTTCATATTCCTGGGGGAATTCTGCGCAATCTAGAATTTTGCAGAAAGTAATGCTGTGCACGCAGAATTTCCTTTCACCACAAAAATTGGCTGCAATGCTGCTGGGGGCTGCTGGACCCAGCAGAGCCCAGCTCACACATAGAAGACACTGTCGGGGGGGGGGAGTGAGAGGGACCTAGAGGGTTCCTGGCAGCTGCAGTTCCCTGCATGCCCTGAGGGAAAGAGACAGCAGTGTGCAGGAAACTCCACACAAGTCTGGAACCCAGCATCAGGCTGTTTCTTCCTCTGGATCCCTGGGCTCTGAGGGGTTGGGGGGCACAGCTGGGCTCTGAGGGAGCCTATGGCTGGGCTTTTGTGGGGAAGAGGTGTGGGTATCTGGGCAAGGAGGTGCATGGCTGCCCTCTGGAGGGTGTATGTGTGGGTATCTGGCCAGGGGGCCTCCACGGCTAGGCTCTGTGGGGAGAGGTTGTGGTTATTTGGGCTGGGGGGCCCTGCAGCTAGGCTCCAGGAGGGGGAGTGTGCAGGTATCTGGGCTTGCAGGGGCCCGGCAGCTGGGCTCGGGAGTGGGAGGGGACAGAGAAACAGGAACTGGGTTGTCATGGGGTTTCTTTAACTCTCTACTCCCAGGGAAATTATTTTTGTGTGTCTGCATTGTCACAGACATACTTGTGACAGGTATTTTGAAATAAACTACCAAAATAATTGAAACTGGTGTGATTATGTAGTGTTATTATGATAAATATTGGCAGAATTTTAAAATATTGCACAAAGAATTTTTAATTTTGTGGTGCAGAATTCCCCCAGGATTAAGTTCAGCACAACAGATGACAGTTCTTTGTCCTCCAATGTCTTGCCCAAAGCTCCTGGTGCTTTGGGCAAGATGGACTATGTGGGCACCTCACTGCAGATAACCAGTGTAACCATCCCAGATCTGAGGAAGCTCTTTCTGGGATCCTAGGAAACTAGGTACATTGGTGATACTCTTGTCAGAGGTCTATTACCATGCAGTTTCTTGGAACCACTAGCACTTAGGAGGTACTTTCCTTGTTTTCATCTGCAAAACTTTAGAGTCCTGGTCCTTGTGCTTCCTAAGGGGACATTTTAACAAGAGGATGACCTCTTTCAGCATGGTATTTTGTATCCAGCTTAAGCACTGAGGGAGTCTTAGCAGTCATGCTACTTGTGCTTGAAGACACCTTTCCAGATCTCCCATTCTCATGTGCTACTTGATCCTCTTGAGCAGAGGGTGCTATTGTCCTTTTGGGACCCTTTTTGTGAAGGCCTCACAGGAATTGATGTTACAAGGATACCATTCCCCAAGACAGAGACATGAAAAGTGGTTTTTATTTGAAGCACAAAACATTGCAGGGAACGGGAAATACCTCAAACCATTTTTAGACGAATCCACATCTTGAGAGACTTGAAACTACCACATATTCAATTAAAGTAAAAAACTAAAATAAAACCAAGACCTTTCAGCCTAAACTCTAAATTCCAACTCTTCTTTCTTCTCCTCTATGCTGTTGTCATCTACTGTCTGCCCAACTCCTCCCTGTCAGCTTTTCTCTCTGATTTTGACTCCTGACTTCTTCTGTTCCTCTCCTCACTGTGACATTCTATACCTTGGGGGAACACCCTGTAACCCCCATACTCCTCATTTATATACAATTGTGATCTTGCATATAAAGCATGCCATGTAAGGTATCCTGAAAGTTTATGATCTGGTGAAAGTAACGGTTCTATCTAAATATGTATATCATTAATGCATATGAAGTTATGAGACTGTGTTGTATGGTTGTCACTAAAATATGCTGTGGGTTTGGGAACCGCCCAGATAGTAGCTCTCCAGAGACAATGACAAGGGAGGTAATCAGTGCCTGGGTGGGTGCTGAACAG